CTACCTCATTTTAGGCACCGTTCATATCTGCTGCAAAACGAAGTTGCCCACAATAATAATACTAAAAACAAGAAATCCGCTATCGTTTCTTCTTTTTATTTGCTTTACCACCACCTCCGCCAGTGCCACCGGTGACACTGCTATTACCGGTCACAGTAGTTTGGGATGTTGCACCGCCACCAGCCTGACGTGACTTCAGTTTCGGGATCATCTCGCACGCATATAACATCAGAGACATTCCTGAAATGGAGTGGCATGATTGTTGAAGAAGTATCGTTGAAATCACAATCTTACTGTTTTTACGTTTGCCCCATCTCAAAACTTGCTGGTTTAAATCTGAGGATAAATAACAATGCTTATGCAACAAGGGGTTGACGCAAAAAGGGCTTTTTGCACAGCTCTGTACCTAATTTCCTCTGCATTCCAAATGTAGAAAAAAAAAATTTTCGGGAAGGAGATTGGGAAGAATGGGAGCCTGAAATCTTCTATGTGTTAAAATATTGCACTTTGTTTGGAGTTATTGGCCTACCGCGGAGAACATAATCGAATTGTGACAATTAATGAAAAACTGAAAGTGGCATTTAGATCACCAACTTTTGACTTCGTGTTACATCCAGCCCTCACTGAATTAACCTTTCACCCGTTCCGTTCAAACGGCTTCATTTGTAAGCACAAATGAAATTATCTTAAGAGAACAAGTTGTGCGAAGTCTGAGTTCCATTTTCTTAGGATTGTAGTTTGAGGTCCAAGGGAGTTACAAGCCAATACTAGTGTTTTCATCGTATTCAAGGCTAACGATAAAATGCCCAAAAAGCATTCTGGCTTGACAGGCAACAAATCTGAATGTGCATGAAAAATGTACGAAGATTTACCTAATACCTATACCGCAGAGAGTACCGTCATTGTGCGTTTTTGCATTTTCATTCTTACTCAGAATATGTAATTCACGGTCCATTTCTCCAGCTATGCGACTGGTAATTTTTCCAGTTACTTTGACCAGTGTCGCTTCACTTGGTGGTCACCTATTGGTGATATTGACATTGTTAAGCACAATTAACAACAGGCTGCCGCAAAACATTTGGAAAATTTACTCGTTGGAAATTTAATGTTGCAAGGCGATCCATCGTCGTTGAGCAGTTGCACACGCACTCGACCTTGCGCATTCGCATCGCGATTCGGATCCAACGGGTGCATCTTCTTCTGAACAGCAAAATTGCAGTTAAAATAAGACAAAAAAAAAGTGAACTGAAGTTTGCGCCATGTTTCCAGGAGTAGAAACCGATGCTCCGTCCGCAACCTAACAAAACACCAAAATTGTACGTATGGAAAACTGGAAAATCAAGTGAAAAAACTAACAAAAAAGCAAAAATAATATAGAATTTGGCCAGAGCAGAACAAAAGTGACTTGAGATGAGGCGAAGTTTCGCAAGGAAAAATTAACTCAACTTTATTTAAAAAACAAAAACTTGCCCAAAAATGCTAAAAAACTATATAACTGAAGAAGTTTTCATAAAAAATGAGGAGGAAATAGAAGGAGAAAAACAAAAAACGAGTCAAAATCGATAGATGCTGTACAAGTTCAGCATCCTTTACGGGTACAGAAGGGCAGAAAAATATAGAATCTGGTTCCAAAAAATTTCAGGCAGGGCCGTATCAAATATTTGAGGGGAAGAAAGAAAAGATTCTGAGTCTTTATTCCCTTACTTTCAAACCCTTACTTTTTACATAAACACACATCATCTAAAATTAAAATTACATTACTATACCACGTTGGAGCATTATTACCGATAAAAATGATGCGCTTACCTCAATTTTAGCTTTCATACCGGCATTCGACAAAATATCGTAGATTTCTTGCGCTGTCGGCGAATCCACCGCCTCAAATATCTAAGTTTCAAGAAAGAACTTGGAGTCTTAAATTCTGAAACTGAAACGAACTGAAAAAATAGATATTCCCGAGCTGCGGGGTCATTTTTTTGCGAACGATCCTGGATTTCCTGAACAAAATCTGTGCATGTTGCGATTCTGGACCTGCACAGCTCATCCAGAAAAGGGTTTTTTCCACTATCAGTAAGGGTTTCAAACAAATACAACAAAAATTCTGCTATTCAAATTCAAATAATTTTTGAAGGTTATGCAAGGAATCTCACGTAACCTAGTGTCGTTATAAATGTTCAGATAATCGCTAAGATTAATGAGACAGAGCAAACTGCCAAAAATGTCTACGTTAATGCTTTGTTATGCAGGCAAATTTCACACTAATCAGCTATGTTGTTTCATCGTCCCATTTCTTCTCGCCATTGACGGCGCAGCTGGCAGCTTCTCCATTCTTCTCTATTTTGAGCTTCTCTCATTTCACACAATTTCATGGGGCCGTTCAAGCGAAACTCATGTAAGTATGAAATAAAATGAGGCATGCTAAATGTAATTAAGTCAAATTGTTGATGAAACCTTCGATTTGGCGACACGTCTGCCCTGGGCAAGGGTTTTGCGTGAATTCAAATACAACGGATAGATGCAGATCCATTTGCACTCGTCACTTGGTGGCTTCGTTTTGTACTGCACCGCCATTCACCTCAATTTTGCAGCTCGTGAAAAAGCTTGCAATGAAATGCGGGAAAACATTTTTTCAGAGAATCTGTTCACACACGTAACAAGTAATCTGAGACGTTAAAAAGCATAACTGAGAAAGTTTCATACGTAAAATTCCCCCATAACCTTCTGGACGGACAAAATATACGGCTCCTCCAGGATGTGGCAACACTCGTCTTCTATTTGGAAATCGTTTTCACGTTTTCTGGCGCAAATTCACATTTCTACGGGTGACTTCACTGCCTCTTCGAACGGAATTTGAACCTTCGTGGGTGATTTCAATGGCCTCTGGCTATTCTTTACTCATTGAGCCATGCAGGGGAATATGGCGGCATGCCTGAGGGAAGAAGGACCT